TCAAAAATAAGCAACACCTGGGGAATTCTAGTTTGAATATCCATGCACAATAACTAAGACCCCATTTTATGTAAATCAATATTTCGGTAAATATTTTTGCAGACAACACAGAAAAGGTTGGGAAGTTCTATTTGTCTGATAAAACCATTTTAATATTGCTTTATTGTACTGAATTATAGTCAAAATAAAAAAGGTCCGGAAAACTGCTATGAATATTTGAATAAAGGTGAAAAAAGGTGTTACAATTCATGCCTATATTCAAATTAAAAAGTAAAATGAGAGTGCAACATTAAACACATGGCAATGCTGGAAAGGTACCTAACTTTGTCCTGTCGAAGTTTTGTACCCCTCCGTAGACTGATTTTTATTTTGTTTGTTAAAAAGTGCGATTTTTGGCCGGAAACTGCTAGGAAACCAGTAAAGACACATGATGCCTTAAAAATCCTCTTTTTTTAATTTGTATGAACTATAAGGCAGGTGTTTTATAATGTTTTATTAGTGGATCAAGAGCATGTTAGATGTTAAACCACTGAAGAAAGTAAAGCTGAACATGCAGTAAAGTGTTGTCAAGGTAGTAAAACGTAAACAAAGTAGTATTTTGACGTAACAATTATACCAAATGCCATTACAGAGCAAAAAGCAAAAAATGCAAAAGATAATGAATCTATATAGCAAATGAGTAATTTTTGGAAACTGTAAGAAGATACCAAAATAATCCATTTTTAAGAAATAAAAATGATAGCATTTTTTAGGCATAATGGGGCGTGTTCTGAATTTCATCTTTGGATGTTCTTTAGGGATTCTGATTTTCTCTATATATATCAAATGGAAGATAAAAAAGCTATACATGTATACTCAGAATTTATTTGAAAATCCATAGCTAGGGCAAACCTTAGCTTGATTTGAGGTTAATTTTTGGGTCATTTTGCACAATAAAATTTGTTATTCTGGAAAAACAGGATAAGGGAATGATCTGAAAATTTGCACACAAGTTTGATTCAGACATACATCAAATGGTATATTTCCAGTCCCATTCTGTCAAAAAAACCTCAGTGCAAGTGTCCCTATAAAATGGTAATTGTAATTCAGCTTTTTACGAAATTGTTGCATAATACAAAAATTGGGGTTTTAAGTGTAAACAGTTTACTGTCCTATTAAATGAAACAAAAAAATGTTTAACAATTACATAACAATACAAACTTGTAAATTATTTGTATAAAAATTTTATGTTTTATTTTTAAAAAAAAGTGTTTCAAATTGTGCATAAGTATGCAATTATTAAATTACAACATTTTACAGACCAAAATAGGGTGATGTCATTTAAAAATAAAAGGAGAGATCTTATGCCCTGTCTTTGTTCAATTTTTTATAAGAAAATAAACTTGCTGATAAGCCTTCAATAATATTCTTTCTACATGTTTGTTTGGTTTGGGTTTTTTGTTGTTGTTTTTTTGTATTTTTTTTTTTCAGAGTAAATTTTTGTCACAAGTTTAAAGATAGGTTTAATTTGAAAGTCAGATATCAAAGAGAGAAACTTATTCTGCCCCACTTGTTTTGATAAGACAAAATCTGGATTAGGATTATCCAGACAACATTAAGGAAAAGCTTTAATCCACTATAGATACTAATCTTAAATGCTTGACTTTAATATGTAATAGATTAAATAGGAAAGTATAATTAACTTGAGATGGGGTAACAAGCAATGCCAGTCTATGGTCAGTCACCTTAGTAAGGCAAAAAGAATGTTCTGTTTCTGGTCCTCCTACCTTACAACTTTTTAAGCTGCCAAACCTAGATTTTTTTCCTAAAGTTTTGTTTTGTTGTTGTTTTTTTTAAATTTTTACCTTAATATGTAACATATGATAACGTTTATAATAATATTATCATTGGCGTCCGCGCCGAAGCGCGACACCCTTCTGTAATGAAATTAGATTTTGTGAAAGGGTAATTGCAACTTCTCGAGCCTTTTCATCCGCCATAATAGCCGAACATTCCGATTGGTATGAGTGTTTGATTATCAAAAATGAAATGTTGCGATATGTAAAATGAATAGCAAACTGGATAATTTCGCAATGTAAACATATTCAAATGAAATGATCTTATCCGTCAATTAATCGCGCTTTTCAGTATTTTTATTAATCATTTTGTAGTACACAGTGGTTTATTATGTGTGTTATTGCTTTACCTATAAATAGAATAATGACCTGAACATTGTAAAATTCCGAAAATCTATTTATAGAAGTAGTTTAGATTTACCGAAACGGTCATTCGTGTCGCAACAAACTGGAGAATTTACAGGAAATGAAATGCAAACAAATTAAAACAATTAGTTGCAATCTTTAAGTAGGCAATTTTTATGAATTGTTTTATCATAGTATTATCATTCTTCGTCTGCAATTTTAGCATGAGTTGTTATGGGTTTATTGATAGGCATGTATATAGTCTGCTGGGTCAGACTAGGTCATTAAAATAGTAGATTGACCTCCCAAATAAATCAATTAACAGACTTTGTTCATTTTGACTATTATGTTGTATGTTCCAAAGAAAAAACCACATGAACTTGAAATTCTATCAAATAGCCAATATTTATGATAAGATCCAAAAATACCCCTATATATTATAAATAAACTTATACAATATAGGGGGTATATTTTGGATATTATAGACCTGTATATTTTGGATATTATCGTTAACATTGATAGAATTAAAGTTCCTGTGGAAGCTATCATTATGATCATTCATGTAGTTCCAGAATTGATGAGAATTTACCTTGGAGATATGGGTCTGGGTTTTGTGCATGACACATCCTATTATTATTGTCAACATTTATGCCAAGTATTTTCAAAATCCGTTGACGGATGATAAAGTTATGCTATACCCTATAATTGACTAAATCTGTTCATGGATGAGAAAGTTATAGAGCAGACACAGTATTTACCCTCAAATAGACATTGTTGACCTTTAATCACCAAGCGTGACCTTGACCTTGGAGGTAGGGGTCTGGTTGTTGCCCTTGACACATCCTCTTATTATAATAATCATTTGTGCCAAGTTATTTCAACTTCCTTTGAAAAATGACATAGTTATGGACTGGACACAAAAATGTGATAGATGGACAGACGAACGGACTGAGCCTTTTTCTATATCCACCTTTTTTCTTTGAAAAGGTGGCTGACAAAATACTTTAACCTTTTCCCTTATATAAGCGTGTTTCAAACAGTGAAAAAAACGCCCTATAGACGCCCCAAACACTGTTTTTCCTTTGAGAAATGTTGTTAAAAAAAGTGACCACTTTTTCGGCGCCGTCCCCCATCCAAATATTACATGAAGGGGTTTGGCAGAAGGGTGCCCCCTTCTGTTTCGGGGGTTTGAAGAGGGGCGGAGTCCCCCTCATCGCCAAGAAAATTTTGGACATGTGACAGGCTAAAAATGGCCTCAGGGCGATCTTAGGGTAACTAGTAACCGACGCTGGAAAGCCTTTTACTCTATCTCAATTCATTGAGAAGTTGCAGCACTTTGAAATCAGTTTTGATGGAAAAAACAATGCAAAATAGTGATTTTTGGCAATTTTGAGACGTCCCCCCATTGCCATGGTAACAGGAAATTTACCATTGAGCATGCTGTTACAGAGGCTATGGTGTAGTCAACATTTGTTTCATTAGTATTGAAGCATTTTTCATAGTTTCATAGCAGTTTGAACTTGTTACAGGAGGCTTTTCAATGAAAACGGCCATTTTTCGCAATATGCTCATGGGGTAAAAGGTTAAAGTACCGTATATATAAGTTTTGTTGTTGTTGTTGTTGTTGTTTTGTTTTGTTTTTTGTTTTTTTCTTTCGTTGAAAGCTACAGTACAGTACAGACCTGTGTTGAACACAGACACTTAGGGTTATGTGCGTGGCTCCCCTCCTTGATCCGCACTTGTATACACCATGCCTATTTTATCGTGCAAACCGTACGTCCAAATATTTTTGCATATTATTACGACCTGGTCACATGTCTTGAACATAAAACTTGTTTTCCGCTATTTTAACCACGTTTAAAAAAGTCCCTAAAATATCATAATTTCATAAAGATAACAACATACGCTTTCCTTTGATGTGAGACGACTGGAATGAGTTTCGGCACTGTTTAGCGCGTTCATTTTCTTGCCGAGAACCAAAACCCTGCAACGGTTACTTCCCCTTATCAGTACAGAAACCAAATCAAGAAGACTGATGGAAAGGGCCGAGTAGTTGCGATTGAATTTCTTTTCCCAGCGATTTTCCCGCTGTAATTTACGGGAAACATTCCAGTCGTCATGAATTCGTATAGAAGCATCACAGGCGCTAGTCACATAATCAAAAATTTTACATTATCGGTCTATATATGTATATAAAGATATCTTTATATACATATATAGACCGATTTTGTAAAATATTTGATTATGTGACTAGCGCCTGTGAGAAGCATGTGACACGGTTAGGAAAATGTAATTAAATGTGCAAAGCTTGGAAGAAAGGTACGATCTGATAATAACATGCAATTATTTATTAAAGGAATATATGCATAGATTGATTTACACCAGAAATAAATGGCATGCGCTAACATAAATACCTCAAATATATGTAGGTCAGTTGTGTTTACATTTCGAAGCTTGGCATCTTTAGGAAATTGAAGCGTTGGTAAAAAATTGACTTTTTTTAAAACGTTATGAAATTCTATTCAAACTTGTTCATGTGTTAGACACTTAACCGTCTCATACTAATATAAGCACAAATTTAAAACTAATTCTTGTAATAAACAATACTGTTAGTTTTTAATATTCATGGGCGGAGAAGGGCGGGTCCATTCTCCAAGTGTGTGTGGTGTAGTAAGCAACTTTCTAGAAATGAAAACATTAAAGATTTCTAATATTTTCCATCCAAATACAAAAAGCAGCACTTCTATTTTCACTTTTATGGTGGAAACACTAACTTGATAAGTGACCTACATATGCATCGAGTACCCGCGGGGAACTTACATGCCAAATATCGTCTTTCTTTTTCTTCTACAAATGGCTGGCATTCGAAAGGGGAAGTAACTTAGTTGGTACTACCTACCTATCCGACACAAATGTTAAAAAGAAATTTAAATAATATTTTTCCATCAGTTTGATAAAAGTTATTAGCTGTATTTTTTTTTCAGGGATATAGATTTTGATGACATTTCTAATAGTTTCCTAATCTTACTAATCCCTGGGACCGAATATGTTATTTTTCGGTCCAAGCTAATCATAAGAAAATAAAATCTTTTCAGGGCAGTTTTAAATTCAAGAAAGTTATTATTCATTGTATTTTTGTTTCAAAAAATTCAAATAGAAAAATATCTGGAAATTTGACAAATGTTAAATTTCTAGAAATAAGCCGCAAATTCAGTTTGTTGACCAAGGTTTCTTCAATAATTTAAATACATGTACTTCTTTAACAACATAATTTTCAGCCGAAACACCATTTTTTATATATATTTTTTCAGCTTCAGGACCACAAATGTGGAACCCCATTTATAAATAAATCAAAATCATAAAATCGTACAATTATGCATCACCATACAGTAAATCATTAAACATTAAAAAAGAGACATAAGATTTTCACATACAATTTATAGTATAAATTTTGAAATTGATGAGATAATATAAAAAGAACGTTAGAAGAAAACAATGGTTTATAATTGCATTATATAATAATTATAAACAGATGGTTTTTGAGATAATTTTACTTTCATTTATATACAATTTATTTATTTATTTATTTATTTCATCCTGTCCTCCAAAGTGTCCCCAGCAGATAACCTAAACGAAAAATGTATACAAAAACATATTAGGTCTTCCCGAAGAAAGCGTAAAAAAGTGTTATATGAAAGTACATGTATCATGTTATGTGTAGTTCACATATATATGGTAGGTAGACTTATAAACACCATGGACAAGGGTAATCTCAATTAAAATAAACCACATTTCATGTCTCCTAACGAGATAGTTAATCGAAATACTGCTCTCATCACAGGATTTTTATATGTATTACAGGAGTAGCTTAAAATTGTGTATAAATGCAAAAAAAAAAAAATCTTGTTAAAGAAAGAAAATGACAATAATTCCATATACATTAGCATTGCTATACTTATAAAAAGTAATGTCTCATAAAGAAAGATAACTACCATAATTTTCCTAACATATGTTAACTTATTTATTTCCCTTTATTAAAAGAGCTATTTTTTTTCTTGAAAAAAGGGTAGTTTTTCAAACCTCCCAATTACATAAAACATAAGAAGATTCAAATCAGCCGGAACTTATAGTCTCTGCCCACTCTATCGTGGACCTTAACTCAACCAGAGCACGACCTGGGGCCTAGAGAAGCTCCAAAACGGTCTTCCTGCGACAACGCGGGCCCAGGCCGTGCCAGTTGCACTCCCGACCCTCGACAGGTGGCACAGGCCATAGTTCCAGCAATCTTAATATCTATATAATTATGTATATTGATCATTTTAGCATTAGAAGTGTAAAATATGTTTGTATAATATACTAGATGCCTGAAGCTTTTTTATGATGTGTCACCAAAAATATATTTTATACCATTATTTTTTAAAATAAGGCCAAGAAAACATTCTATATGTATATGGCACTTCCCCGACTTTGGATGGTAATATAGTTTTTTATTTTTTAAGATCTTTTAACAGTTATTTTCCTTGTGGTTTGATATAAGGTGAAAGTATGTTCAGATACTGCAATGTCGACAAGAGTTTGATAGGGAGACCACCTACTATTAAATTAATCCCAGTTACAAGAAGAGTATTGGATATACTTTTCAACATTATAATGAAAAACTAACGTATTATGAAAAGTTTGTATGTTAAAATTTTGGACGTGTAAATATATCTTTTTGCAACAAGAAAAATGAAAATTAATGTTTCATCCGTTTTCTTAAGATCAGTTATCCGAAAAAGAATTTCTTCTTTTGAGAGTTCATAATCTGTAATATTCGGACATTTAGTTTTGATGAAAATTTTAAAAGTCTGCCAAAATTGACTAACATACCGACATTCACAAAACAAGTGTAAAAGTGTTTCGTTACTTTCCCTGCAAAAGGTGCCTGCATTGTCATCTTTTATTCCAATCTTAGTTAAAAGTATTTGTTGCTAAGATTCTATTTCTTTATTTGTACTGGAAGTATCTTAAGTTTTTATCTGGTGTTATTTTTTTTAACAATAGTATTGGCTTTATTCCATTCGGAAGTTTCTGGTGATAATAGTTCATATTTCCATTTATCTCGAGATTTCGGAACTTTTTTTTTTACAAGCATTACATAAATAGAATGGCATCCCTTTATATTTTGCGTGATAACTTGAATTTGCTTAGGGATTATCGGTTTATAAGTGTTAGAAGTTCCAGTATTGATTTCAAGTTTAACTCTAAGATTAATTAGCGACCTTAAAAGTCCTTCATATTGTAGGAAATTTATGTTAATTTGTAAAATATTTTGCATAGATTGTAAACTATAGAATTGATCATTATTGTCAATTAAATCAGTGACAAAACTCAAACCATTTTTCAATAGGTTATTGTAAAAAATTGTTCTGCCTCCGACCTTCAATGTTGAACCAAATTGGTTGCCTGAGATATTCATTCCAATTTATTATTTGTACTTTCGAATAAAACGTTATCCATGATGTAAAGACTTCGTTCCAGAAGAGGTTTTCTGTTCTTGAAAATAAATTTTAATAAAATCTGGTCCGAATTTGGAAAAATTACATATATCAGGAAAAGAATTTTCAAAGATATTTTTCCATATTTTGTTTTCATGTAGAATACGTCTAATCCAACCTTGCTTTAAAGAATGAATAAAAGATTTCAGTTCTATAATATTCAATCCTCCTTCTGACATCTGTTTTATAATGATTTCTCTTTTTATTTTATCTGGGAATTGTTCCAAAGAAAGTTGAAAAATTTTCTAGTTCTTTGATTACTTTGTTTGATGGATTAGGAAGAGAAATAAGCAAATGATTGATTTTTGGTAGAGCCATTGTTTTAATAACAGTTGTTTTCCCGTACGGGGGTAAAATTCTTTTAGACCATTATTGTAGTAATGATTTTATGTCTTCTATTTATCGTTATGGTTAAGACTAATTATATCTTTCAGATTAAGTATTTAATTCCGAGAACAGTTAAAGTTTCTTTTTCCCACGTCAGATTTTCTCCTTTTTGAAATTCAATATAACTTCCTTTCATGCTTCCAAACCAGATAACTTTTGTTTTTTCTATATTAATGTGAAGGCCGGAGGCGTGAGCATAGAATATTAGCACCACTAGTACGTGTATTCTTTAGAGATTTTTCTGTACCATCCAAAGTAAGAGATTTGTCATCTGCGAACTGTGAAACAAGGTGTTCCTTATTACCTATTTTAATACCAGTAATACTGTCATTTTACGTATTAAGAGGACCCGTATCTCCAGAGGGAATGAAAGTATAGGGGGATAATGGGTCTTCTTGTCTACAGCCACGTTTTATAGAGAACCATTCGGAGATTTGCCACAACTTTCTGTTTGAGTTAAAAGCATTAAATTTAGCCATTTCTTAATAGAGCGACCAAAATTAAAGAAGTCTAATGTTTTAAATATAAATGCCCATTCTTGAGAATCAAAAGCATTTTCAAAATCGTTTAGTAAAAGTAGGCTCGGTATATTTTTTATTCTGTAAAATGAAAAAGGTCATATAAGCTTCATAAAACGACCAGAAATAAAGCCGGTTTGATCATTATTTATCAAAAAAGGAAGGAATTTTTTAATTCTATTTGCGATACAAGCTGATGCGATTTTATAGAGACATTTAGTAGAGATATTGGACGGCAATAGTCTTTTGTCTTTTTCACCCTTTGGAATACATATAATGACACCTTCTTTTTGGATTATTGATAATTCATTATTTTCAAAGCTGTAATTTATTGATCTTATATAAAGATCTTCAATATATTTCCAAAAGAATGAAACACCATATTGACACGTCATATGAAGTCGCAAAATGCTTGATACTCCATATGAACTTGCCAATTGACTGAAACGCCATGTGAACTCGCCAATTGCCTGGAACAGCATGTAAATTATCCAGATCCCTGAATCGCCAATTGCCAGAAACGACATATGAACTCGCAAATTGCCTGAAAAGCCATATAATAGAATAAATTTTATTTTCAATCATGGGCCTTTACATTGTAAAAGATGTACAGAATTAAAAAAAACATAACATAACTAAAACCTAATTATGATAAGTGAACACAAATAACAAAAGACTTTGTAAAAATAAGAAACTAAAGCATATTAAATGACAAAAAGTAAATGCATAAAAGAAAATGTAAGTCAAATGATCAACTATATAAGTTCAACCAGATGTTACATTTTTTTAGAAATTCGAGTCTAGATGAAAATATTTATGAACAAAGTTTGCTACAGCATTAATAGTATCATTATTCTCACTAGACATCATACAAACAAACTGTTTTCAGACACTTTTGGAGTTTAAAAGTTTGGTACCTTTTCAGATATATGAGAAATTAATAAAAGATCTTTCAAAGTCATAAAGATAATATCTCAACATAAAGTGTTCTTCCGTTTCAATATCTTCTAATAGGCAACATTTGCAAATTCTATCAATGACATGTATTCCGATATATTTCGATATCTCCCCGTTTCTATTTCAAATCTAAGGGCACTTATTCGAAATTTACTTTAGAAAGAGACGATCTAATAACATGATCTTTAAGAACATCCAAATAAAGTTCATGAATAAAACTTAAGTAAGTATTCAATTTTCCACTATGTTCTTTGTAGCATATATCTAATCGTTCTGCCCATTTGGTTTTAAACTCACTTTCAGCACTGTTTTTAAACTTTTTTCGATAAATTCTTGCTATAATGCTAATGCTTAGTTACTTAAAGTTTATCAAAAAACAAAGATCATACTTGATACCGAGCTATTTTTGCTGTTTGCATGCATGACATTTTTTTAACTGCAGAGTATATCAGT